AACCCCTGCCCGCTCCCCCAGCCCCACCATGGCTGCCCCTCCTGCCCCAGCTCCCTGTACTTTAAAAAAGAGCCCCAGTGCTCAACGGGTGCTGCCGGGCAGGGGGCGATCCCTGCTGTCCCCCACTGCATGGGGGACTGTGCCACAAGCCCCCCTGACATCCCCCTGCTCCCCCAGCTCCATCGCGGCTGCCCTGCCTGCTGTGGCTCTGGCCTGTTAAGGAAAAAAAAAAGGCAGAGAAAAGCCCTGGGACTCACTGCTCCTGGTGGAGCCTCAGGGCTTCGGGGGCTCCTGCAGAGCCCCCATGTGGCGCGGGGCAATGGAGGGCAGCAGGGATTGCCTCCCCGGGCAGGAGCAGTGAATCCAGGGGATTCTTCAGGTTTTTTTTTTCCTTAAAGGGCCGGAGCTGGGGCAGGCAGGGCACCCGTGGGGGGGGCTGGGGGAGCGAGGGGGTATTGGGGGGCTCATGGCAGAACCCCCACACAGCTTGGGGCAGTGGGGATCGCTCCCCGCTCGGCAACACCTGCTGAACCGGGGCTTTTTTTCCCGCTCAAGTGCAGGGAGCTGGGGTGGGCAGGGCATCCACTGCCAGGCTGGAGGAGGGATGGGCCTGGCCTGGCTGATTCGGAGATTTGGCCGAATCAAATCAGGACAGTGATTCGAATCACCGAATTGAATCACTGTCCCCCGAATCGACTGAATCTGAACCCAAAGCAAATACTAGTCGCTTCACAGAGGCCTAATGTTTATCCTGATAATCCATATTTTGTAGCTTTGATGCTCATTGCCAGCACTGAGGTCAGTCTATAAATACAATATAGGAAAGTGCTCTTTGCTGCACTTGAGAACATCTTATGCTGTGCAGTCTTCTGTTGAATAGCAAGCAGTGCCACCTTTGTGCTGGCGGGGAGGAGGTCGAAAAGCATGTTGTACCTTCCATGGTGCTAGAGATAATACTGGTAACACTCTCTGCTTTCTTCTGAAGGCTGGGCCCATCTTGTGGGCCTGCTGTCAGGTGGTTATAATCCAATTTATCTTGGTCATCGGTGGGATTGCACTACAAAAAGGAGCATAGGTCATGTGGTAAGAACACGTTTTACAGGAATCCATTCAGTACATTCAAGGTAGGAGAGCATAACAACAACAGTTATATGGCCTATGGACACAGTCCAGTCCAGTGCCTGTCAGAATGAAGAATGACACCCAGAAGCTTAGGGTCTATTACCGGTGAATAAAATCAATCAATCAGTCAATCAAACCCTCATTCAATGCCTGCATTAAAGAGAGGATTCTTGTGTCCTAGCCGCCAGCAGTATATCAGGGAAAGGACTGAAGCCATAGGCTGAGAACATGGAGACTCATGAGCTCATAAATGGGAGCTGTATTTCTAGGAAGTTCCTGGTACCACAGGAGGATACAGGACTGTAAGGGTGTCTATGCTAATGTAACTCAGACATTAACAGGACTCAGGAGAAACAACAGCTGGCAGAGCAAGGGTAAGAGAAGCAACAGTTAGAGCAGCTGGAGTTCCTGGCTCCTTGGCAAGTCAGGGACCCTGGGGAAACTTACAGGTCAGAGAGTATGGGAGTCAAGTTTAATCTGCTCTACCCCAACATCTGAAAGCAGCCCTTCCTCTCTCATTAACCCATGTGCTCTCCTTTACCTTCAGGGACCTGTAGAGACACATGTGCCTGAAATGGGCACAACTGGAGCTGTGTGCACATACATGGGGTTAGGCTCTAGCCCTCAGGTACAGGAATTTCTTGGGACATATGGACACATGCATAGCAACCACCCAAATTCTACTTGGTGCAAATGTGCTACAACATGGATGAAAGCCTCTTCCTTTACCCAGAGATACTCCCTGGCATAAGGGACCTTCTTAGAAGATACAGAGCTTGCAAAAAAGCCCAACACAAGACCTATAATTTAGGGACCGGAGCCAGG